AGGAGAGCTGAGGGCACTGAGTGGGCTTTGGGCTCCTGCGTGTCTCTGCTGTCCAAACCCCCTGGCAGAGCTGTGCCAGGTCTCCCCGTGCCTCAGCTGCCCCAGCAGCGGTGCAGCCACTGCCGCCTCCTGGACCAGCCCTCCTTCCCTGCAGACCTGCTGGAAGCCGTAGAGGGGGATGGCTGCCGCAGCCCCCACGCCAGCCACGCTGCCCGAGCTGCCCGCAAGGATGGGTGCGTCTGCAAGAGGCGGTGGGGAAGGGCTGGGGGAGATGGGGAGCTGCTCCGGCGCAGGGTTGGGGTCATGGCATCTCCCGGGGGTAGATACATGCTATATGATGTCTTCATTTTCAACCTGGATCATGACTGTCCCCAGCATGTCACCACCAGGCTGACAGTGGCTTCCCCTGTGGCAGGTACAGCGCCGACTCCAGGGTCGTGCACTTCGTGAAGGCCAAGAGCGTTGGGCTGCGGCTGGCCGGTGGGAACAATGTGGGCATCTTCGTGTCAAGTGTGCAGGAGGGGAGCCCGGCTGACAGCCAGGGCGTCCGGGAAGGGGACCAGATCCTGCAGGTACCCGGGGCTGGAAACAGTTCCAAATGCTTCTGCACCTGGACTGGCCCCATCCCTCTTGGGTCTGATATCACCCCCCTGCCCGGGGTTTGGATTTCTCCTGCTGGGCATTGTTTCGGGTCAGTGCTGGTGCCCATGGCCTGTACCCATTGGGCTGGCTCGGTGGGCACTGCCTGAGGGGACGGTCCTGTCTCTGCCACCATGCTAACACCCAACGGGGTGCAGGCACCACCTCAGCTGGCCCAGAGGCCCTCCCCAGGGTTACTAGGGGTTGTGGCAGGCACTTGGGTGACAAAGACCAGTTACCCCCCCACCTTGCCCTGGGCACTGCCGCCCCTGGGATCCCCACTGGTACCTGCGCTCTCCGTCCCGCCGGTGGGGCCATGTCTAAGTGCTTTTCCGTGGCAGGTGAATGACACCAGTTTCCAGAATCTGACCCGTGAGGAGGCCGTGGAGTATCTCATGAGCCTGCTGCCGGGTGAGGACATCACGCTGTGGACCCAGAGCAAGCAGGACAGTGAGTGACGACCGGACTCATCCTGGGCTTGTGCCTCTCCATCCTCTGTCTCTTCTGAGCAAGCATCAGAGCTGCTGGACTTGCCATGGCCCTTTCTGCCCCCGCAGGGTGGTCCTTCTTCCCACACCCCCCTCCTCCTCCTCCAGTGAGGTGATGGGAGGGGACCAGACCATCCCGGCCCTGTTCGTGCCTTGGCATCCTGGAGCACGGGAGCTTGCTGGCACCGTGGCTCAGCCTGGAGAGGCCAGTGTGTGCTGGGGGGTCAGGTCCTGCTGTTCCCAGCATGCCTGAGAGAGCCATGGGAGGAAAAGGTGTCCCCAACGCCCTCCTTAGCAGCAAGGGCTACTGTGGAGGCTCCTGGCCAGCCTGGCTCCTTCCCAAATCCCTCCAGCACCTTCCCCTCCAGCATCTTCCTCCTCAGCCACCTCTTCCCCTGATGGTCTCTCTCACCCTGGGCTCCAGTTTACAGGAAGATGATCTCATCCAACATGGGCGACTCATTCTACATCCGAACACACTTTGACTTCGAGAAGGACACACCATCGGGGCTCAGCTTCGTCCGTGGGGATGTCTTCCATGTGCTGGACACCATGTACCGGGGCAGGCTGGGGAGCTGGCTGGCTGTGCGCATGGGCAGGGACCTGCAGGAGCAGGACAAGGGCATCATCCCCAACCGGAGCAGGTAGGGATGGAGCCAGGAACGGCCCCAAGATGAGCAGAGCCGGGGGATGGCTCCCCAGTGAGACGGGGACATGGATGGTGGGCCCAGTAAGAGGCAGGGCAAGGGCTGGTGGAGCAGCAGTGGGAAGCGTGAGCCGGTGAAATCCCTTCTCAGGGGTGATGGGGCAGTTGATACTCTGGATGTCCAAGGTCCTGGAGGAAAGAGGCTGCCACAGCCTCATCTGGCTGTGCCACAGAGTGGGGACGCTGGCTTCTCCTGCCCTACTCCTCGGAGCCCGGAAAGACAAAGCAGGGGGTAAATCCGGAGGCTCCAGATCCTGAGCCCTTTCCCCTCCCAGGGCCGAGCAGATCGCCAGCCTGGAGTCGGTGCTGAAAGCCACGTCCAGTGCCAACCCCTCCGGGGCACGGGCCGAGTTTTGGAAGCTGCGGGGCCTGCGGGGAGCCAAGAAGATGCTGCGGAAGAGCCGGGAGGACCTGTCTGCCCTCACAAAGCAGGGCCGCTACCCGCCATATGAGAGGGTGGTCCTGAAGGAAGGTGGGTACCAGGGCTGTGTCCCCCTCGCCCAGACCCACACAGGGGACATCGGCCCCAGGGCTGCCCCACTGCGGGTGCTAGTGGGCTCTGCTCTCCTGGGATGAGTGGGGTGAGTCCCAGGCCCACGGGCACCTCGAGGAACGGGGCTGGATGCCACGAGCTCTGCCCTTGCCCGCAGCCTCCCTAAGCCGGTCTGTCTTCTCCCCACAGCCAGCTTCAAGCGGCCAGTGGTGATCCTGGGCCCCATCGCAGACATTGCCATGCAGAAGCTGAGCATGGAGCTGCCCGAGCTGTTCGAGATTGCCCGTAAGTGCCCCCCCACGCCAGGAGGAAACTGTATCCAGCAGCCGGACCCTCAGTGTCCAGGACCTGCGGGAGCTCTTTACCTGGGGCTCTGTCCCGATCCTGCCTCATTGTCCCCCTCCCCGTGACACCCCAACACCTTCCTGGAATCAGTCACCCTCTCCACATGTGTCACGATACCAACCCACCCCTCCCCCCCCCCCCCTCCAGGGACACAGCCCCGGGGTCGGGCATGGCCACCAGACCCAGGGGGCTGCTGGAGATGGCACATCTCCCCCTAGCCCCTCTCATGCCACGTCTCCGTGTCCTGCAGTGAGTGTGCCCCAAGACGGGGCATCGTCCAAGGTCATCAAGTTGGACTCAGTGCGGCAGATCGCAGAAAAGGTGAGAGACCTTTCCCGTGTCCTTGGAGCTGGGTGGGCCAGGGCCTGGGGAGGGGCCCACAGCCTCCGTCCCCGTCCCCAGTGGGGCTGACGGCCGTGCCATGCCCCAGGACAAACATGCCTTGTTGGACATCACGCCCTCGGCTGTGGAGCGCCTCAACTACATGCAGTACTACCCGGTGGTGGTGTTTTGTGAGCCCGAGAGCCGGCAGGGCATCAAGGCTATGCGCCAGTGGCTGGCGCCCAACTCCAGGAAGAGCTCCCGGCGCCTCTATGCCCAGGCCAGCAAGATGAAGAAGTACTGCAGCCACCTCTTCACCGCCACTGTCAGCCTCAGAGGCAGTGGCAATGCCTGGTAAGAGGCCATC